AATTACGAAACAATCACATCAATAGTACTGGTATTAATAGCATTAAAAACATGACAATATCAGTACTATAGTACAACAAATGATAATAACCATGATGATAGTAAATAATCAGAGTGACAAAAAGTTGTAGTCATAAAAAGTAACAACAGTAATAATCGTCCCCTTTTAACTCCTATGTAAAGCCCGGCTGCGCCTCGACCAAGGTTTTTGACTGCCTGGTAGCTGTCCACAAAATCCTGGGCTGCTTTCATGGAACTCAAGTGAAGTTACCATACGGGGTTTAGGGTTAAGGGCTTAAGTTCCATAAAGGATTTAGGGTTAAGGGCTTAAGTCCCATAAAGGGTTTAGGGTTTAGGGTGTAGGGTTTAGGGCATAATATAGTTCCCGCGTTACAGTAACTTGAATTGATTTCCTTAACAGCAACCAAGAATCCCACCGAATCGCTCCACGGCCACCCAAGCATCGCAAGCAATTCTGCAAGTCGCTTGGGTAGAAGTGGCCACAGATCAACCAGACCTTTGAACTTCCCACCAAAAAACCTAAACCCAGAATCCCAAACCGCGTGGCAGTTCTCGAAAGCTTAGACTACCTACGTATCCCAGACACCGGCAAGCCCCAAAACGGGACAAATGACATTAGGGCTTCTATTACTACTATTACTATGAATTACTACTGTTATTTTCACTATTGTTATGACGATTGTCATTGTCATTCTGAAAAAACTCTTATTGACTACATTTGTTAATTACTCTTATCCTCGTGCATCTGTGCAGCGGGACGATGCATGTCGCTCTCTGGGACCTCAATCGGAATGCTCCGGGTTTAGGTATCTGAGGATGCACAATTTAGGGCAATCCAACCCTTAGAAAAACACAGAACAGTGCTTGCAAAAAAACACTTTCCAGATACAAGAAAGACCCTCACGGTTGCAGGATAGCTGGTAGCAGTATTACAGAATCACTGGCTTGGGTTATGGATCGGACGTTGGATGCTCAACCCAACCCTAAGCCCAGAAATTGGCAAAAGCCCAAAGCCCCACAACCCAAACAACATCTTCAGCCCTTAAAGGTAAGCCCTGAATAGTAGCTTCCATTTTCTTTTCCATTATTGCTATATAACCCCTATGTAACCCCTATTTCGCCGAAAGAACCTCTGGGGCAATGAGCAGGACATGTGTGGGCTTGTGGTCCGCCAGAACTTTGAGCTGCACCGGTGCGCAGAGCAACTCTGAAAACTCCAGCCTGAGGTTTAGGGGTTTAGGGTTTAGGGTTTCTTTGGAACCCTACCGGTTACATAGGGTTCGTATAGGGGTTATATAGGGGTTGTATAGGGGTTATATAGAGATTATATAGGGGGTTTATATAGGGATCATATAGGGGGTATATACGGAGAATGGAAAAGAAAATGGAAGCTACTGTTTAGCTTTTAGGTCTGAGGACACAAGGTTTAGGGTCTAGCGTCTAGGGGTTAGGGTTTGGTGTGGGATAAGATTTAGCGATGAAGATGAAGCTGGAAAGAAGTACCAAGACTCTAAACATCAAAGCTCCTGCAACCCGCAAACGTTGAACTGCTACTTACTGTCTATCCTACACTTTCAAGCTTAAACTCCAAATTCCTACATCCCTGAAGCACTGCTCGGGACCTCAGTTGCCATTACATTTTCCATGTTCTTTTCCATGGTTCTCCACCATTGGTCATCAATCATGCATACCCTAAACCTTACACCCTAAGTACGCTTTACCCTACACCCTATGTGCCCCAAACCCTAAACCCTACGTACACTAAACCCTATAATCCCAATGTACCCCAAACCCTAAACCCTGCGTCCCCCAAACCCTAAACCCTACGTACCCCAAACCCTAAACCCTAAACCCTACGTACCGCAAACCCTAAACCCTAAACTCTACGTACCGCAAACCCTAAACCCTAAACCCTACGTACCCCAAACCCTAAACCCTTAGCCCTACGTACCCCAAACCCTAAACCCCAAACCCGGAATGAAACCCAGCGGCGGTATGATGAGCTCCGAGGCTTCTGTGTTCGCAATAGAGGACAGCTCATCAGGATCCTCTTGGGCTGACAGCACTACTTGAGCCATAGTCTAAACTCCTAGTATTCCCCTTAATATTCAATTAGGGTTTAGGGTTTAGGGTTTAGAGTTCATCTAAACTCCTAGTACCCCCCCTTAATAGCCCCTATAGTAGTACCCTATATAATCCCCTATATAACCCCCTTCAAGGAGTTTAGCATATGGTTGACTTGGTGTTTCAAGGTTTAGGGTTTAGGGATGAGGGTTTAGGGATTAGGGATTAGGGTTTAGGATTAGGGTTCTTGGATTAGGGATTAGGGATTGGGGTTTAGGATGTAAGGTTTAGGGATTCGGGTTTAGGGATTAAGGGATTAGGGATTAGGCATGAGGGTTTAGGGTTTAGGGCATAGGGTTTGGGGAGTAGGGAGTAGGGACTAGGCATTAGGATCTAGGGTTTCGAGTTTTTGGGTTAGGGTTTATGGACCGGATTAGGGTTTAGGGATTAGGGCTTCGGAGTTAGGGATGTTTTGGGTCTAGGGGTTTAAGGTCCAGGGCCCAGGGGTTTTGGATCTAGGGGTTTAGGGTGTAGGGTGTGGGATTCTGAAAAAAAAAAAACCTTAGAGCACGCGGGGAGAAGGGAACTACTGCATTATGGTCCCTATTCAGGAGTCTTTAAGGGTAGTTTTCTCAAGCTGCCGCTTTCTGACTAGATTAGGTGTCCAGTAGTGTAGCTGGATAGCTGCAGTCATAACTTAGTTGTAAACCTATGTGGGCCGCTGGTAACTTCACCTGGAACTGCCAAAGAGCTGCCACGTACAGTTTAGAGGCTTTCAGGGCTTAGCTGCGTTCAACAGAAGTTAGCAAATTGGGTTTACGAAACCAAAGAGTCTTTTGTGTCATGAATTGTGGTGGATTTGGAGAAAGCCCTGGGTTTTTGTCTGGGAGGTTGGTCCTAAAGCCTTATGGCCGGCAAGCCTGGACCTGACTCTCCACACATACATTGGAGTCCTTGGGTTCTTAAAAGTTCTGCTACCATACCGGCTGCCCATTTGAGTCAGGACTCTAGCCTGTTTTTGAAAGGAAAATATCGATGCGAATTTTGGCGTACGCCCAAGGGACTTCTCCAAGACAAGATGCGCTCTGGATTTTACAGGGATAACTGCTGGCCTGGAAACGCATTTCCCTGAATATCACACTCCCGCATCCTGCCAATGATTCCAGACATGTTCCTTGTTTGGGCCTTCGGAGGGCTACTGTTTGGAGTGTTGGGAGCATTGAGCATCAAAATGTAGGGCAATTCTAGGAAAATCACACATTGTGGAGTTGTCAAAACGGGGAAGCCTTGCCAAGCCTGTACCGAGTAGCAAGAACGGCAAAGATTCGGCGTTGGTGTTCAAAATTCGCATAGGGCTTGCCTGGAGAACCTCCGATAGGCTACGAAGTTACTTCTTCGAAGTGAAATCCTGCCTTCACTCACTGATGGTTAGTAGGAATGAAAGTACATAAGCCCTATTTGAAATAAACCTTTATTCCCTACTGACCACTAGTAAGTTCAAGGATGTCATCTTGCGGGAGGCCATGAGAAGCCATGACTTCAAACTCCTTGGTGCCCATCTTAAATGTGACACCCATATACCCTTGGCCATGATCTGTCTTACCATTATTACTACTATTACTGCTCAAAGTTTCAAGCTGGCGCCGACGCAGGCGAGCAAGTCTTCAGTTGGAAAAGGACTATTGCGATTATTGCGTGTATGATCGTTGCTATTATTGCTGTGTTTCCTATTAGTACTTCTCGCAGCACCAAAAGTTGCGAGGCGGAGGGTGTTTGGGTGGATTGGAGACACAAAAAACAAGGCCAAAGAACAAACGAAAAAACGGACGACAAGGTTGGTAAGAGCCGCAAACTCAACCCTTGAACTCTAAACCCTTGAACTCATCCACCCTAAACCCTAAGCCCTACACCTTAGAACCCCAGAGAGCCCAGGTCCTGCACTTGGATCCCCAGCTTGGTCAGGCACAAGGAAGACGGCTTCAAAGTCTCCCAAGGCAGCTCGGACAGGCCGCTAGTGGCCTCTTCCAGAACGTGGTGGAGGCCCACACGGCCTTCAGGGTTTGCGGTTTAGGGTCTTTTGTGTACTGCCCTTCGTACAACCCTTCGGACTTTCCGTCTGCCCAGCTCGGCAAAGAGTCCTTAGTCCTTACCCAAAACATACTGCCTCTTCTATGTACTCAGACACTAGCGCTCGATCAAGCCATCTTGCCCTCACCCTCGACCGTTTCGGATTTGGGCTTGGGGTTTGGGGTTTAGTGCTCCGGGCTTAGGGCTTAGGATTAAGGGTTTTGGGCTCAGGGCTTAGGGCTTGGGGCTTAGGCTTTCGGGTTGGAATAATACTAAGTGGAACACTCGCTGCCAGCTGCAGTGAATGCAAGCGAATTGCATCTACTATGTTAAGACATGCCTAACCCAAAAATGGCTGAAACCAGAATCATTTTCAAAAACAGAGTATTCCCCTAAACCCCAAACCCTCTAGGAGCCCTGACTCCCCCCGGCCTTCCTTCTGAGCCACTTCTAATGGATACTGTGCTGGTGTCCCATGCACGGGATGGAGCCAGCAGTTCTTGGACCATTCGCCGAAGGAGGTAAAGGCATTGTATGCCATGCTTGATATTCAACCCTCCCCCGAGCCAGATTATCTGCGGATATCTGCTGGTTCTCAGCGTCATGAATCTGATTTGTTGGGCATCTTGGTAGAAAGGACGAAATCATGTTTGCGGCAAGGATTTGCCAATCAATTCTCATGTCATGTCAGGATGAAGGCCCACATGTACCCTTGTCAATCTTGGCACAGACTCAATCAGCAGCACAGAGGCACTGCGGGGTTGCTGTGCCTGGCTTTTGGATAGGTAGGTAATAAAGGCTATAAGATTACAGGGATGACTAGACAAATATGCGCATACATTCATATTCTTAAATACGTGCGCCACAGATGCTAACCTGAAGCAAGGAAGGTTAAAGAAATTCATGAAACAAGGGATCTTGGGGTTTTGAGGAATATGCTTGGTGAAAGGAACGAGCTCCGTGCGTCTCGCCATGTCCTGCATGGCCTTTTTGCGCAGCTCCTGCAACGCTTCCAGAACTCCGAGTCTTGCCCCAATGTAAACCTAATCCCAAATTGGTTACCTAGGCAATATGTGCTTATATAGGGATAATGGAAAAGAAAATGGAAAACTACTATTTGGGGTTTGGGGGGGTTTAGGGTTTTAGGTTTGTGGTTTAGGGTTTAGGGTTTAGGGGCTCAAGTGTGGGGTTTCTCTCTCCTTGTTTGGAGTTTCACCACAGCGAACAGCATGCCGGATATCAGGCATGTGAGCTACAATCTAAACTCCTAGTATCCCCCTTAGTAATGGAGAATCAAATGGAAACTGCTATCTATATATATATATATACATATATATATATAGGGTTATGTAGGGGACTGTAGGGTCTATAGTCTAAACTCCTAGTATCCCCCTTCATATCCCCTATGATGCTCCCCTACATAATCCCCTGTATTATATACCCCCTTTGAGAAGTTTGAACTATAGCCCATCTGAAAGCACTCAACTGGACCCAGACCCTAAACCCTAAACCCTAAAACCTAAACCCTAATCCTCGCCTCGAAGACAGCTTTGCCTCGCAGAAACTTGTCCTCGTCACCGGACTGCAGGGCGGCAGGCCGTCAGCAATCGGTTTAGGGTTTAGGGTGTTAGGGTACCAAAGTAGGGGGAGCCAATATAGACCCCCAAATATGCAGGTCCTTATTATAGGGAACCCAAAATGATACCCCTAATTTTTGGAAACCCCAAAGCCTAATCCCTAAACCCTATGTAAGTATAACTGCCCTTTCTGTGCCAGTATCTCCCTGGGGTCTCTGCCCCCAATATGTGGACCCTGCAGCCGGCCTTGGCGGCAAGTCTTCGGCTTGACGTACCTTCACACATGGCCACATGAGCTATAGTCTAAACTGCTAGTATCCCCTGAATAATCCCTAGCCTATAGTAATCCCCTATATAATCCCTTATGCAACCCACAGTAAGGAGTTTAGACTATAGCTCACATAGCTGCAGAGTCACGGCAAATACTTCTAAACCTTACCGGGGGTTAGTAAGGAATAAGGAAATATCATCCCCATATGAGCGTTCGCCGAAACTCCTTGTATAATCGGATGCTATGGACAAGTTGCGGCGACCCTGTCGCTTTTGGGGGTTTTGGTGTAGGATACGAGAAAGGTATCGCTTTTGGGAGCTTCAGCCCAAACACAGTCATAGTTCCGTCTTAGATTGAAGGGTATCGTTTTGGGGGGTCCTATCGCTTGTGGAGCTTTTTGCACAATTGCTATGTCTCACAGCATTCCTGCTCTTCGTGCCCAACACGCGAGTATTGACCATTGCTCATATAATCGCTACATAATGAATTCCTTTATTCCTATGTTGCTCCTGTACAATATGTAACCCCTATATAACTCTATCCCCTAAACCCTACCCACTATATTCCCTACCAACCCCCCCCTTAGACACTCAGCGCCTCTCTCCCGTCTGGTATGGTGAGACCCACGGTGCACTCTCGCAGCCTGTTCACAAAACACCGCTCAACTTACCATGACGACTGCAGGGGCCTGTGGGTTTAGGGCTTAGGGTTTAGGGTTTGGGGTTTGGGGTTTGGGGTTTGGGTTTAGGGACTTGCAATTCAGGATCTTCTGCCTAACAAAAATAAATTCACATGATGACTGCACTCAACTTCATGAAGTCTCCTTTCCTAATTCTACATATCCCAAAAGTTCCCCACGGGCCGGATTTCGACAAAGGCTCTTGCTCCACACTCGAAAATGAAAAGCCTGCAATATCTATCTTCGCTGTGTATAGCATCAAACTCTAAATCGCCTGCCTTGAAAACAAACCCCGCAAACCCCACCAACAACAAATATTCCCTCATAAGTAATAATTAGGCATGAAACAATGGATGCTAAAAACATGAAGGACCCTACACAGCTTATACTTTGGCACACAATTGTGATACTATCGTCAAGTAAGGGCATGCGGGACTTGAAATATCAACCGTGTATTAGGGACCTTTATCCGTAGGAGGGAGCCGATGACATTGTCTAGCCAGACTGCCATGAGCATGTTGAGGTGCCTGGCTGGCGTGTAGTAATGCCAGTGCCAAACCTCAGCGCAACAACCCGAGGCCTCAAAATGTAGGGGTTTCCCATAATTAGGGGTACGTTTTTGGGGGTTCGAAGCCTGGTCCCTATGGTTGTTGATGCAAAATTTTTATGGTCCGTCGAACTGGAATCCCTGACATGGTTCCGGCAAAACTCATGAATTACGAGTGGGCTCCCACCCACAAAGCAACTCCCAGATTCTGCGGCAAGAACACATGTGAATGGCCCCTCACAATGCACATATCATTGTTGGGTAACATCTCGGCTTGAATGTCTTTCAGCCACCGTAGGTGGCCTACCTCCATACAGAGGTACGGCTGCAGGTCTTCCCCAGAGGCCGCCAGAGTGGCATGAACTCGTGATGAAGCGAGCCCCATCAGAACCTGCATCTGCAACACGCGAAACACAATGATGGAGTACCTTTGCTGCACCCATGCAATTTGCACAGAACTCACTCTGATCCCGGGCCTCGCGAATGCTTCCACGAGGTTGTGGCTCGGAATGGATGAGCGGAATGCAACATCTTCAGCTAATGCAGGAACCAAACTTTTACATACTATGACGGAAAACCAGCTGCCTGGCTAAAGTCCCGAATTGCCCTCTTGACGCTGTTGCTGGTGCGCGGTCTCTGCTGCATAAATGAGTCATGGTTATGCTTGTCGTACTTCCGGAAGGGACCTGTTGCATTGCACGGCTTTTTTTATACTGTAAAACCTGTAGGAAAAGGTCCCAAAAAAATGCACTGATTTGAACTTACAAACTAAAGCTCAGCGCTGCGGCAACCCAAACACAGAGACCTTAAGTGTGCATCAGGCATAAAATGATTTTCTACCTTGGGTGGAAACATTATGCGTTGATTGTGGCTGATATCCTTCGCATGTTAAACATTTCTGTGTATATGGACCTTCAAACAGCGGCTGTCATCCAAAGGAAGCGCAAAAGGTGAACTGCACTTCAAGGAGAAAACCATCATCTTAGCAGCTGGTGCCTGCACAGCAGACCCAAGATCGATGCAGCTTCACACAGCTAAAAGCAAGGAACAGGCAACGCATATGGGGCATAGGCAGGCTACGCCCCGGTCAGCTGCTTTGATCTGATTAAGGCCTCCGGGGCGTCCGCAACAATAAACAATCCCATACGTGAACGTAAGATCATTGCTGACCATTTTGAAATTCAACCTTAAAATCACTGATTCCATGAACCAAACTGACAAGTGTTGAGCATGTTTTGGACCGATAGGATGTACTTCGAAACAACATTCCAGCAAGTTTTCTCTCGTTCTCTCCACAAACACTTGTTGTGCAAACTGTGGGATCGCATACCCTCAGAATCCCTTGCAGCTACTGGAAAACACATATTCATGCACTTGTAATATTATGACGAATAGTTACACTCGCCAAGCTGCGTGAGGATTGGCGGCAACGTGGGCTAAGTTCATTTAGTGTTTCATTGTTTGCAAATCAAAGAATATCCAGTCAATATGTTCCAATCATTCATGAATATGTGAGACATCTTGTTGCGAAATTTCGCTGAGCACGGGACAGGTCCAAGAAGTTTTTTGCAACGCTGTGTGAAAGACAGGAGCTGGCAAGCTTTGTTGCAGGGCTCACTGTCCCGTCAATGGTGGGCAGGCAGCAGTTCGCTCGCAGTCCACGTCCTCAACAGTACGAAGCAACGGGCCGCCTAAATTCAGAAGGCCGCTGGAACGCCGCGAATATTTTGAGGGAAGACCTTCTTGGGCCCGGGCGGAAAGCATTTCAAGCCATTCGCAAGAAGGAACTGTGGCAAGTACCTGTTACCTTGTCGCGAAACAGCAAACCCGAGCGCTCACGGCGGTTAATTGGGCCAGCTGCCGGGACGTCTCCTGGCCCAGCCCTGTCTCCGATGGCGGATACTGTTCAACATGGCCGTCCAGGAGGCGAGTCAGGCTGTCGTCAAATTCCACAATCAACAGGACACCATAATCAGCATGCGACCGGAACTGGCCTGTCGATTTTGCAATGCGTTGAACATTCCCCTAATTGGACCTCTCAAAACAGGTAAGCACCCGGACGACCCAGCCGCTGCCAAAAGTAGCAGTGTGCACTCACAACAAATCATGTCGTGTGTCCACATGTGAAACCTACGGTCTTGCTTCCACTCGCTTGGTGCTTTGGCTCAGGGGTTGGTGAATCTGGCGCAAGTTCCCGCCCGTCCCAGCAATGGACTAAATCTCGACACAGACACTGTCATGCCCCCACTCCTGGAGTAGTGCCCCTGCATCTAGTGATCAGTTGATAGATACCGTCAGGGGTCACAACCCCGCCTGGACTCCCGTTCCCATAGCGCCTGTACCTGCTTGGCTTCAGTGCCGTGGCCTCGCTGTTTGACCTGCAGGCTTTTGGCACTGCACCTTCTTTACGTGGATGCGCAGCTCCATGGGATCTACACCTGCACGCAGGGTACGCCGCGGTCACATCAGCGATCGCGATTGAAGTCCTCTGCGGACTGCAGCGCGTGCCTCTTGTCGGGAAAACCAGCCTGCAAGCACTGAGATAGCCATGCAGCTCAACGCGCTGCATGTTGTAGTAACAGCGCGCCCTCTTCCCTACGCTGTGTGAGCCAGGCCCGCAAGCTGAGCCTGGGGCGGGGGCGGTGCGCCCCTTGGGCAAGCATGGCCGCAGCAAACCCATCAGCCTGCTCTCACACAACAGGACCGTGAGCATAGAGTAGACTGGACCCAGCAACTGTTATTGCAGTGCAACTCACGATATATCCGTCAGACGGTGTACTTTTTGAATCAGGCTGAGTACGACTACGATAGCGGTGAGGCGACGGCAGAGTGCACCTATAGGGGGACAGTAAGAACAGTCGGAAGTCTTCGTACTCCATTCCTGCGCATCTACGACAGCCACACGCACAAGCGTCTCGCGCCACACCTTCAGGCACTCCTGACATATGTTGTATCTCGCCCGTGGGTTGTCCTTGCCGCTCGCTTCGACGGCACCTGCTGTGGGTTCTGACACTGGGACACCGGATGATCCTTGAAACACCCAGCTACTCTGCAGACATGCACTCGGGAACAGCTAGCATTCGTGCAACCCTGGCTGTTGTAGGCAAAACAGATCTGACGTCCATCTGGCGTGACGGACGCGAGAGTAAGACCTTTTCGCTTACCCTTGCCTTTGCCTTTCTTCTTCGTGCGCGGCCGCCTTGTCGGGTTCCAGATTCCAGATGCCCTTGTTGTTGGAGAGCTCCGGCGGCAGCTTTCGCACCCGATTGAGGCCGCCCACTTGCGCCTCCCCGAGCTCCGCAGCCACACCGGGCGCGGGAAGGTCCAGCAGCTCGGTGGACGGCGTCGCCAGCACGCGAAGGCCAAGAATGCCTTCCACCGTCCAGTCCGTCTTGCGGAAGCACAGGTTCTCCAAGTGCTTCTCGAACTTGTTCCTGGCCGCCGCGATGATGCGCGCCATGCGCTCGTCCACATTGCTCCGGGGCAGCACCTTCCACGGCGCGAGGTCGAAGCCTGCGCAAGCCCGCTCGATTACACTCGTGAAGGTGACACCTTCGCGGGCGGCGCGGTACATGCTGCAGACCACGACCATCTTAATCTGGAAAGGCAGCTGCGGGCGCAGCAGCGCCTGCAAGGAGTCGCGTGCCAGCGCCAGATCGTCGAGCTCCAGAAAGAGAGGCCCTTCCTCCATCCACGATGACGCTGTGTGTCCAGAAGCTGCTGCGCGGCCGGCTGGCTCGCACGCGCACGTGACGGGCAGCGCGCGGACGGCTCCGGGCTGGCCAGCTGCAAGGGCGGCCATGGCTGCCATGCGCCGGACACATTTGGAGGTGGCCGAATCTCTGCTTGACCTGTTTTGCCCTTACCTTTGTTGCCTCCCTTGCTGTACTTTACACTCGCTGTACGCAGCGCCAGCGGCGTGGAGAAGTACGCTTCTTTAAGGGGCGCATCCTTAGTCACCGACTCCAAGGCATTGGACAATTTGCGACCTTCGTCCACGACCAGCTTGAATGCTTCGGTCCTCAGTTTGAGCTCATAGATCAAGACGACCTGCCAAGGAGGCCGCTCATAAGAAGAAACAATCCCTGACACGGATGGCAATTTCAGATTTGCAACTTTATCACCAAGGATATGATCGGTGAACTTCATAAAATGTTCGAGGAGCAATCCCTGAAGCCAAACCTTTGCCTTGAACCTTGCGGACATGGCCAACCATGCAAATGCCCCAACCTTCATCACACGTGGATAGGCCTCTGAGTTCCGAGGAAGCTCCAGCTTATTGCGTGTCTTGGTCACAAGAATATGCCCAGTTGCATGCACGCTGGTCTGGAACGCTTCGACCGGGCTATCCTTCTTTGAGCTTCTACGGTCAAGGGTGCTTGCCGTCGGCTTGTTCTCCTCAACTTCCTCGGCTTTGGGCGCAAGGTAATCAGAGCTTGGAGTCTCGCCTTCATTGAGGCGTCCGTAAACACTGGTGACTGCTCTCCGATCATGGCCTGACGTTCCTGAACAGGGAGCACCCTACATCGTCCAAGGATCTTGCAAAGGCACTCCTGACAGTGACGCTGCTATCAGCGGCTACGCAAGCTGAGCTACCACTAACAAAGATCTTCAGATCTGAGCTGTAGCTGACTGATGTCACGAAACTCCAGAGTCAAATGGCAAAACTGACATTCAGATATTCAGGCCACGTCTCCTCCCCACATGTCCTTAATCATGCTTCAGCAGCGGCCACGTATCACATGTCTGACAAGCTGAGAATTGCTTGCCACATGTTAGCACAAGTGAGCTCCCAGCTGATTCCAAACGTGAACATGTCTGCCCCTGACCCAAGCTTGCAAAGCACACACACACACACACAAACTTCACTCAGCAATTTTAAGGCGCAACCAACCCAGCCTGCTTCTCCAAATCGCTCGACGCTCGAGGACGCTGACTTGCTGCTGCTACCTGGACCTGCCTGCGGACCTCTCTCTGCTTTAAGGCGGCGCTTGCAATCCCGGCAGATGGAGTCCAGGTCCAGCATGTCCACACGGTCCGTGTAACGCACAGTATGACAGTGATGGGGCTTCACGCGGCACGGCCCACTCAAACGCAACCTCCTGTGACCTGTCTTGCGGCTAACACTCATGAAGTACGTGTAGGCCCGTGTAGGCTTTATCTAGGACTACACACCCGATAAGCTAACGTGGGCTGTGTCCCGTGAAGAAGAGCCCGGAACTTACCTGAATCCAGCTTAGGGGTGTAGAGCCTCCTATAAACATCGCGAATGTAACCTGAAACCAACGCGGGCTTGTCATAGTGCTCGGTCGTGGCGCTGCCATCTGACTTCCGCACGGGCACCAAGTCAAGTACACCCTATAAGGGTTTCCCAAGACTTCCAAGGCTTGAAACCCTCTTCCAGCCACGCGACCCCTGCAAGCGAGGTATTGCGGTGGATGAATATTGGCACTTCATGGTTCCTAGGATCACTGCCTGTGGTCTTTCGCACGACCCAAAACAGCCCTAAACCCTGCATCTGTCAAGGTCAT